TCGTTAACTGCAAGCTAATCGTGTTAGTGGGCGCATACTACAGTGCTGCCAGGGGTTTTGGTTTTGGTAAACAGTGCATTTCCATGGCATTTATTGAAAGACGCCTGGGTAAGTGGCATGACAAGGACATGCTGCACGACAGAGTCTGCCATTGTTGCAGCCAGGGCCTCTGAGCGTCTCACTCCCAAGTTTTTGGGAGTCTTTGCTGCTTTCCTGCTTCATCACTGCTGAGAGGCCCATCCTACCACTTCAGGCCTAATGAGCATCAGTAGAAATCAGAAGTTTTTACTCTCTTAAAGGCTGCTAAAAGGCTTCTGAAGAAATGAGTCAGTGTTTTCAGTCTTGTTTTCATTCTGCGTCCCAAAGCTCATCCGGATCGGCATCTGTGTTTGCTGCCTCTAGAGAGAGAGAGAGGCTAATTACTGGACAAAGCTGGGGATTAAGCTTCCCTCTCGCCCTTATGAAGGAACAGTCCCTCTGGAACAGGGTTGGGCTTATTAGGAAAGTGCTGGGGAGAAAGGTGTTTCTCAGTGCAGATGTTCCCATCCTTTGTGGATAAAGAGGACTGAAATGTACAGGGCTTTTAATACAGTACCTTTGGCAATCACTAAGAAAACCTTGCAAGTCCCCCGAAGATGGGGTGTCTTTTGCCATATATCGAAGCAATAAGACATGACAGGCACTTTATTTCATCGAGGCTACACACCTTGAATGCATTTTGTGGCATAAGGCCAAAGTACAAATGACTTCAACTCTCATGAAATGCAATATTCTTTCACAAATGCATTAAAACCTTTGCATTGGCTTATTGGTACTAAGAAATGAAAATTACTTGCAAACTAAGGAGGAAGAGAGGTTTCCTAAGACAGGTTCCTAGGGGTCAGGCTCCTTGACAGCCAATAAGAAGACGCCGTTTGCAAATAATGTTCAAAAGATGTATCTTAATATAGTCAGCCTGGAAAAGGGTTTTGAAATCTGAGAGCAACTGGCTCTTCCTGTATCACCGAAGGGCAAATGCTGAAGCACAGCCTTAGAAGGTGAGATCTGTGTCAGCATTATAGACCCTCCCACCAGCTTTCTGGGTTCGAATGATGACCATTTTCTCATTTTCCTAAAACATTGCACTAGGTCTTATGTGTTTATAAAAGTTTTTAACACTTTTGGGTCAATTCTGCTTTTAAAAATTTGCCTCCAAGGATGAGGGCTTCAGTGTAGTTGTAACCTGGGCCTTCTAAATCCTTCTCTCTCAGAGAGAGGCACATTTCTAGATGATTAGAGAACTTCAGGTGGAAACGTTACTCTGCCTCTGGCTTTATGCCTTAAAATATGACCTAAGGCAAGCTATCATTTCCCAGAAATGAAATATGTCATATGTTACTATTAAAGTGAACCAGAAAAAGAGCATTCTATTACAATAATGGGTTTTGTTAAAAAAAAAAAAAAAGTAAATGTCAAATCCCCAAAGGAATAATACATATTTGATACTATTATTGGAACAGCAATACCAGTAATTGCATGAGCTCCTCATATTTAGTATTGTTCATATAGTAAAGGGATTTTATGTAAACCTTTCAGTAGAATTATTGTGTCAGAGGAAAATGAGAAACAGCATCACTCTTTATTCACGCAATCAATATAGTACATTTATTGGGATGACTGTGTGTCAGTCATCAGTCTAAATGCTGGGGATGCAAAAAACAAGAATAGAGCATCTTCCTGCCTTCAGGGAACTCACATTCCAGTGGAGGAGACAGATATAGCAACTAACTACAATGCAATGTCACAACAGCTATAATAAAGATTCCAATGGGGCCATGGGAGTATGCTACAAAGAACTATTCATTATGGCTGAAGGAGTCCTTGCTATTCTTAGTGGCCTGTTAGAGCTAAGCCAGATCTTAAAATATCGCGATGAAGCACATATTAGGCAGATGCAACAGCATGGGTGAAAGTGTAACAGTAGAAAAAAAAAACCATGGTACATATATTTAGGAGATGGTGAGTGGTTTTGTGTAGCTACAGAGGTAGGTCTGCCAAACTGTCTAATGCCAAATACTTTGATGGATTAGTTTGAGTTAAAGAAACTTGAGTGATTTTTGAGCAGCACAATTTTACAAAATGAATGTATTTTACATTATACTCTATAGGGCCAAGGCAATGAGAGTAGGAGACAAAATACTGCATGGAAAACTGTCATTCTCACCATGACTCATCTGTTAACTTGAAAATACTCTTACATCAAGAAACGCAGGAAAATTGCTCACTTCACGTGCTTATGGGTGGATTGAAACTAATTTTCTAGCATTAAAACCAATTTCCCACTGAGAAAACATGTCACAGAGGATGGCATGAACCTTTATAATTATTAATAATATTTGATATTTCAATGTCGCCTTTCATCCTGAGATCAGTCCCATACACATGGGAACATAAGCTCCAAGGAAACAGAGATAATATTAATACAGTAAGTCACACTACATTTTTATCTTTCATATTCCAAGGGCTTGCTGTGTGTTTCTCTCACTTTTAGAAGGTAGAGGATATAGCTGTAAGGCAGTGATTTTTTTTTTATTAGCTCCTATTACGGGAAGGCTTAGGATAGAGTCAGGGCCACAACTTTCCATACACAGTTCTCCTCACGAGACCAACTTTTGAGGTATCTAGTCCCCTTTCCTTGGCTTCTTTGCCTGCTGATCTCATTCTGAGTGGAGGACACACCAGCAGTGGGCTGTGTCTTCATGGATTCTTCAACTTCCTCAGCAGAGTAATAAGTCATTATCATCATCATCATCATCATCACAACAGCTACTACTACTGCTGCTCCTTATAAAGTACTCGCTTGATGTCTGCATTATTCTGCTACGTGAAGAACTTTATACGTACACCACGTTAACTAATTTCACACCAACATTGTAGGGTAGAGCTGTCCAACAGAACTTTCCGTGATGATGGAAATGTTCTATATCTGTGCTGTCCAATACGGTAGCCATTAGCCACAGTGGCTATTGAGCACTTGAAATGTAGCTAGCGTTGCTGAGGAGGTGCATTTTTCTTTTATTTAATTTTAATTAATTTTCATGGGAATAGCTGCATGGCTAGTGACTATTGTACCGGACAACACAGTCATGGTGGCTGATGGCTTATTTTTTTCTAAAAAAATAAAGCTCGGTTTTCATCATCAGTAAGAACTTGAGGTGTGAGTGCATGATTCTAAAATATTCTTGAATCTATAAATATTTTTAAAAGAAGCCCCGTATTCTACATTTGGAGAACTTTTATTCCACTCTTCCCCACCCTGTTAAAATTTGATTTAAAAGATGTCTGTGGAATATCAGGGTAAGGAGAGTCATTGCTAAACAAAGAACACTTACAAAAGATGTGGATGATGTCCTTAAATGAAATATCCTTGTCATTCAACCATCCCACGTGGTCAGCAATGATAGGCACTGGTCTATCCGTTGAGAATTGGAATTCCAATAACTGATTTTCCAAAGGGAGACATTCACCTCCGCTTGTAAAACGGAATGGTGAAAGAGGGTTTTATGTTTTGAGTGTCCACGAACATTTACATTTCAGTCCTTGTCTCACTTAAACCACCTCCCCAGGGTTTCTCCGGTTTGTGTGTGAAAATACGGGAATAAACTTCTTTAAATGAAGAAACTGACTGAAAGACATTACATTTCCGCTTAGTCCACCCTGTAACTTAGACTGTTACCACTGCTTGAGAAAGAGAACTTAAGTAGCCCTTGGTTTGAACCATCTGTCGCGAAAATGTGACATATGTTTGCTTTGTTTACTCAACAACCAAGTGTAAACTGATACACTGAACAAAATAATCCGTGTATGGTGTGACTGTGTGTGTGTGCGTGTTTAGGGGAGTGCCTGATGAGTGCGTTAATTTCCTCATAGCTGCCCCGGAGGAACACGTGCCCAGGAGCGCGGAGCAGTGGGATGTCCCTGGGGCTTGGGGCGCGCATCCAGGCGCAGACACACTCCAAACAATGCGCCGCACGCATTCGTGCCGCCGCCACAGCCGAGGGGCGCGCCTGGCTGATGAGCAGTTGAATAGAGAGCTACTCACCCCTCCTCTTTCCTCCTCCTCTTCTCCCCGCCCTTACACCCGGGCCTCAAACTTCAACCAAAGCCTGTGCCCTTTTCAATTAACCCCCCTCCATCAAAACGAGCTCTTCTTTCCTCTCTTCCTCGGCCCATTGTCTAGCGAGATGGGTTTACAGATTTGACAGCTGGGCTCACTCCTACTTGATTCAAACTCGGTTTCCCTGAGAGATGAACTTGGACAACAGGAAAGATCCCAAATACACGCCCTGAGCGGCCAGACCGCCATGCATTACAGCGGGCTCTTCACTAGACCCCTCTCTGGACCTAGCGTTGACTTGAGCGTCCCGGGCGCCCCCCGGCGTTCAGGGAAGGGATCGTGCGTTTGGGGCGGGGTATGGGGGTCTGCAGCACTGCTGAGAACGAGTGGTCCCAGAGACTGGGGTGAAGGGCTGTGTATGTGTTGGACTTTTAAATTTATTATTATTTTTAAATGTACTCTTGAACCAGCCAAGATGGAGGTCAGCTTATAAATTTTCCAAAGCCTGGTCTGATGCGGTTTAAAAGGCGTGGGCCGGGGGTTCCGCTTTTGTCTCCTTGTTCAAGCTTGAGGAGAGAGGTAGAGACTGCCTGTGCATGTCTGAGTGTGAGTGTGAGTGTGCGCGCGTCGGCGTGGATGAGTGGGTGGGCGCATCCCTCGATCGCAGCTCCGAAGGACTGGGTTTGAATGTGTCTTTAACGCGCCAAGTCTTGAGTCACATCAGCGAGTGACGTGGGGAAAAACTTTGTGTTTGGAAGAAGGGTCTGGTTCGATTGCCCTACAACAGAAGAAAGAAAGAGCTCTTGTTGCATTGTGCCCTTTTGTGTCTCTGACTGTGTGTGTTTGAGAGAGAGAGAGAGAGAGAGTCAGTGTGAGTCTGGCAGCGCTCGCGGCCGGCTGCATAGCGCTGCGTGTCCTGTGCGCGCGTGCGGGGTCCAGCCCCAGGCCCCACCGCCGGCTAGTGTGTTCATCTGCAGGGTCCGCGCCGGGGAGCATCGGGGAGGCAGGGGGAGGCTGGCGGTGTGTTGCGGGGTGGCGGGAGCCGGAGCAAGCCGAGGGTCCTCTGGCAAAGAAATCTGCTCTCCGAACCTGCTTATCCTTCGCGCAGCTCCCAGTAACCACTAACATCCCTAACGGCCATCAGAGCTGGGGGCTCTCTTTGGAAATCGTGCTGGCCCAGCTCGGTTCTCCCAGCTCGCGAAGATTACCGCATCTTTCTTCCTAGCGCAGAGAAGTGAGTCTGGGAAGGGAAAGAGGGGGCGGGGACACCCCCCAACATAAACAAACAAGCAAACTGGCTTTTCGCTGCGGCTGGACACGGTCGATTGAGTCCAGGTTGGTGGGATTTGGAGAGTTTTCTCGTTCCGTCGGTTTGGGAACCTATTTCCGCTCTCCCACTCCCCGCTTCGCCTTTTGAAAACGCCCCTCAACTTTGGGGCCCAGGGGCGCGCGCGGCGCGGGGCTGCACCTGCCCTGGCGCTCTGGGGCTGCCGGCCAGCGCGCTCGTCCGGGGCTTTGGCATTGATGCGCCCGAGTCCTGAGCACTGGGCTAGCGCGTGTGCGTCGCGCACGCCAGGGAGGGAGCGGAGGACGCACGGCGGGTAGGGGCTCAGGAGCTGTGTTTCGGCCTCAGCCGGGACGCCGGTTCCCCCTCCCCGGCTGCCTCTGAAAGGAGACAGATCCGGGAGGAGGGGAGACGGCGACAGGGGGCAGCGATTGGTGGTTTGGGTGGGGAGGGCCGGCGGCTGGGAAATCGAGCTGGCGCGAGGAGGGGGCGGCGAACTTCCCGGGAGAAGGGGCTCTTTCCGCGCCAGGGCTGGCGAGAGAGCTGACGCCGCCGTGTGCTTCGACTCAGGGCAGCGGCCGTCTCCGCTCGCAGCGCTCGGAAAGTAACGTTATTTATTTATTTGCTCGCGTTCAGCCTCCTGGCTTGGACCCGATAGACACCCCCTTGGACTTTGGGAGTCTGCGTCCGACCTCTTCAGCCCCCACCCTGCCCGTGCGGGTGGCTCCCGGGAATACACGCACATGCACCTCCCGCACCGCCTCCCCGCGCCCCGACCCTGGTAGGGGTGGGCCCTCACCCGGGCGCTGGAAAGTCCCTCAAGGCGGGAACAAGGGTGGGTAGAGGGGAGGGGGGGAGGATCCAGTGCTCTCGGCTCTCATTTCAAAGCGCGCTCTCCCTTCCAGGTTGGATCGGACCTGAACCCCTAAAAGCGGAACCGCCTCCCGCCCTCGCGCCAGCCGCCCGCCCGGAGCTGAGTCGCCCGCGGCGGTGGCGGCGGACAGAGTTGAGAGTTTCCTCCCGCACTGGATGGAGCTGAACTTTGGGCGGCCAGAGCAGCGCGGCAGTCCGGGGATCGCTGCATGCTGAGCTCTCTTGGCGAGACCCAGCGGCGGCTCGGGAATTTTTGGGGGGCGGGGACCAGCTGCGCGCCGGCACCATGTTCCTGGTGACCCTGTACTTCGCGCTACCGCTCCTGGGTAAGTCGAGGCTGCCGCTAGCTTTCTTAACACGCTAAGTCTTTCCGAGGGGGTACTCACTGCAGCCCCCTCAAAATTGCGGCACGGGTGCTCTGGGTGTGGGAGGGTGAAGTTTCATTTTGGGGAAGGGGATCGTGAATCGTCAGCACCCCGGGCCTGGGAGGCGGTGACGGCGCGGCACTTGCCCGCAGCTTTTCGTGGTTGTTTTTTATCTTCTGTGGTTTTTAATGGCCTAGCCTGGCAGGGATTTAAGGGGTCCGAGCTCTCCACCCCCGGGCGCGGCGCCACTTGCGAGTCCCGGGGAGCTCGCGGAGGCGCGGCGGGCAGGTGGGGTGTGGGCGAGCACTGGGCTGGGAGAGCAAACTTCGAAGGGAAAACTTTTCCCCGAATAGCGTTTCGGCGCTCCCCGCCGGGCCGGCTGCGGACAGGGCGCCGGCGCCCCGCCTGCTGTCCTCTTCCGAAAGCCCGCGGGCTTCAGCCGGGCCCGGCGGAGCGAGTGGCTGGAGCTGGGGGCGGCGGGAGGGCAGCCCTGGAGACCAGGCAGCCTTTTGCGCACGGCTGCCCCGGGCGGCGGGGCCGGTGCGCGCAGTGGGCAGCGCACACTCCGGGGCAAACCGCGAATGGCCCCTCAAGCCTCACGGGCCTGGGGGTTGGGGTATGGGGGAGACCGAGGCCGCAGGAGGTCCCCGGGCGGGAAAATGGACCCTCGGGCGTAGAGGGGCGGGTCAGCTCGCTGCGCGGCGCGCCCCTGAAGCCAGGTCAAGCACCGCTCTCCCCCGGGCAGGGGCAGCGGGCGCTGCCCAACATTACTCACGCTCCCTCCCCTCCACCCGCAGACGTGCTCCTGGCGGCCGAGGTGAGCGGGGGGGACCGCCTGGATTGCGTGAAAGCCAGCGATCAGTGCCTGAAGGAGCAGAGCTGCAGCACCAAGTACCGCACGCTGAGGCAGTGCGTGGCGGGCAAGGAGACTAACTTCAGCCTGACATCCGGCCTGGAGGCCAAGGACGAGTGCCGCAGCGCCATGGAGGCCCTCAAGCAGAAGTCGCTCTACAACTGCCGCTGCAAGCGCGGTATGAAGAAGGAGAAGAACTGCCTGCGCATCTACTGGAGCATGTACCAGAGCCTGCAGGGTACGCGCGGACCGTCCTCGCCCCCCGTCCCCCCCAACCAAGCAGGCGGGCCCCTCAGCCCCCGGTCACGCTGACCTCATCCTCTACTCGCTTCTCCCCAGCTGCAGAATGAGGACCTTTCATTGGCCCCCAGGGACAGCGGCAGCTGGTGTTTGCTGCTTCCCGAGCAGCATTGTCAGGGCCTGGTTGTTGGAAAACCCATGAGGGTGTGGGGGACACCCCCGGGACCCCGCTGAGCTCTCTGAAACCTGGTCAGAGCACCGGAGTAGGAACCCATTAAAGGCCACGCGAGGACCCTGCAACTTCTCTCCAAGGAGAGCTGGCTTCAGAGAATAATAATACAAAGAATTGCCCTGCATCTTGGCTGCAGTTTTCCCCCTTTCTTCTTCCCTTCTGTCCATTCTGACATGAGATAAAGAATTAAGTATAAAAGGTCCGGTAGAATCCGTTCTGTCTTTACCCCTTTCAAACCCCATCAAAGACAGATGTGGGAAAAACCATTTGTCGTTTTAGATTAGCTGAGGCTTGAAGCAGCTGGTATGGTTCAACCTTGGTTAACAGAGAAGTGGCTTAGCTATAAAGGTCCACTTGTCACAACCATCCGTTCCAATGGGAATTCTTTGGTCCTTGTGTGCCAGAGGTGGCTCGTGTTTGTAAATCTAACACAAACATCCAGTGCATTCATTTTCCACTGAGACTCACACCAATAATTTGTAATAGCAGATTTGACCTCTCAGCTGCCATTTTCTCCAGAACCTATTAATGAAAACCTGTTTCAGAGGCTGACTGTTTAACAGCCTGGGTACTTGCTTTCTGACCCAATGCCATGTTTTGAGAGCAAAGAAATGGGAGCCTCTTTTGGGTCACCTTTCTTTCATTGGCTCCTGGAGGCAAGCTGGGCTTGTGACGTCACTGGGTTCTTCCTCTCTGATTTCATTCCTTTGCAAAGAGTGGGAGAGTTTTCTGGCAAGATCGGGCTGGGTCGCTCTCCAATGTTTTCATGGCACTCTGGGGAGAGCAAGGACAACAAAGGCAGAGGGAATGAAAAGAAATAACCATAGCCAAATAGATGCATTTGAAATCTTTGAAAGTTTCAGCATCTTTTTGTTACACAAGCATAACATAGTTAGAATTCAGTCAGTAACAAAAACTGCGTGAAATATGTCTGTTTTCCACATCTGAGCCCAATCTTTCTGTTGTTTTTAGGAAATGATCTGCTTGAAGATTCCCCATACGAACCAGTTAACAGCAGATTGTCTGATATATTCCGGGTGGTCCCATTCATACCAGGTAAGCAGATTTATACTTCCACTCTGCTGCCTTTGCCGGCTTGAAGTCTGTTGGCTTGCATTCTCTTTGGCTCTCAAATAGTGTATAAGTAGATAGTTGAATGGCGCAGTGTTTCTGGGAAATTAGAAATAGGATGATGATAATGAAGAGGCAAAATGCCTAGAGATGATTGTATGACTTGAAAGTAATTCTAAATGAAGTAATGTGCTATGGTGGTTTGAAAGAGGGTGGAGGGAGTGACTCGGTTGGATTTTTTTTCACATTAAAATATGATTGGCCAACTCTTGCAAAGGGAGGGCCACTTCTGTCTGTAGGTGGCAATCGTATTCTCTTTTTGCTTCTACATACCTTATACAGTGCCTCCCTGTAAATGGGATCTGTTCAAATGATGCCACTTACTTAACGAGACGTTTGAAGATAATCTTGGATTGTTGAAGAATTTTGGTTGGACTCACTTGTCTGCCTGTGATTTAAAGGATTCAGCTCTACCATTTGTGAATACTTCTTTTGTTTCTAAATTTTCCTGAGCAAGTATGCACGTATATAGGAGAATGTATTGCTGTCCCAATGGCCCTTCAAAAAGTATTCTCACTTCCCATGGTTGGTTTGGTCTCTCTCTGGAATTCTACATTTGGTTTAGAAGTGAACTTAGTTTTAGAATGAAGTTTTCCATAACATCTGCATTCAGAAACCCCATAAATAATGAGCAAAGCAGGAATTTCTCTTAATGACATACAGATTCCAGACTGGTGTTGTCTTTATTTGTTTACAGTTAAGAAATTTTCTCAAGTGTATACGGCCATTACAGATTATATGTTTCTCAGTGGTTAAACGTGGTGGTTAATGTTGAATTTGATTCTGTGGGATAACGGTTTGTTACTGGTGAGAGTGTTCTGGCTTTCTAAACATTTTCCTTCAGAAAGCGGTAGAACCAGGAGAGTATATAAACTACTGATGTTGTGTGTGGGTGTATTATATATACATTCATTCATTCACAAATATCCACTGAGCACCTACTAAGTTCTAGCTATTGGGATTTTGCAAGTCGGCCAGACAAATGTTGTCCCTACCTTCATGAATCTTAGTGGCAGCCAGCAACTGACGTTTATGAAGCTCTTTTTATGTGCCAGGCACTGTATCAAGAGCTTTCCATCATTAACTTATGTAATCATCATCAAGTGCTTCTTCAGTATTATTATTTCCATTTAGAGATGAGGTGATCGAGGCAGTGTGAAGTTAGGAAACCAGCCCAAGATCACAAAGCTCCTAATGGGCGGAATCAGAATTTAAACCCAGATTTGTTCTATTCCAAGCTTTTGTAACGCCTTCCCCTTGCTACCCAGAGTGTGGTCCTCAGACCAGCAGCATGGACTCACTTGGGAGTTAGAAGTACAGAATCTCAGGCTCCGTTGCAGACCTCCTGAATCAGAATTTTCAGTTTAAGATCCCTGGGCAGGGGGCTTCACATACACATGAAGCTGGAGAGGCACTCCTCTGCATTATTCTGTCTTTTGGTTTGAAGAAAAGTATGGATTTTGTGTGTTGTGTGTGTGTGTGTGTGTTTGTTTCTGTTTTAGGATAAGATATTAGGGGGTGTGTATATGTGCACACACACACATATATATCAAAAGCATTCATACGTTATTCTGAATAATGCTGATAATTACTACTCCAGATCCCTACTAATGCTCTCTGTTCCCTTGGTCCGGACTGGATCGTGGCTGAAACAGTGGAGGAGAGATGCGCAGACAAATGTATGTGACCCTCTAGGCCCTCATGGGAGCAGGGCTGGAGGAACTAGGATGGGGTGTGGCACATGGGGTACCAGAAGTGAACCTGGCCTTCCCAGTGCTTTGGGGGGCAGCACCTCTTGCCTGCGGCCTGCCTCATGGAAGGGTTACTCCTTCGTCTTTGTACCGACGCCTGGAAGGATATGAACCTCCCCGTGGACAGTGAGAGTGAGGAAGCAGGCAAGGAAGAAGCTTCATTTGGGTTTTAATTTCAGAACTGCTATGAGCTGTGGGACTTTAACAGACTCATTTTCCCTCTCTGGGTGTCTCTTTTCTTAATATAATGAGGCCACTGGAGTACACAATCTTCAGTCCTAACAGCCCAGGATTCTGAGGGAAGATTGAGGTCACCTCCAGAATCCCTCCACTGTGCTCTTGCATTGCAATTTCAGTTCTTGCTTTCATGCTACACTTCAAGTGGCTTGGTCATCCTCGGATACCACTGGTTTTCTGAATTTCTTTTAGGAGTATTAGAAATTCTTCTGCATGAACAAAGTCTCACTCATTCACTTTTTGAATCCCTCTCTCAGCCAGGTTTCTTTTCATAGCAAATATGATCCTGAGTTTGTGAGACCAGTCCTGCTGAGAACCAAAAAGTCATAATGAATTAATCAGAGCCAGGAAGGCCTTGTCTTGAGCTTCACTTTATATCTCAAGGGCATTTGAATTTAGGTTCCAGCACTAATGAGCTTTGACCTCTGACAGTGACTGTGTTCCTTAAGTGGGTATAAGAAAGCCAAATGGAGCCTTGAGAGGTTTTAAGTCTTTGAATAATGCATATTATCCAGTTTGGCATTTGTAGAATGAAGAAGGACAGAGAAACAAGATGATAAACGTTGCTTTTCATGGTTTGAATTTGAGTTTCTAGAACATCTCTTCTGTCTTGAAAATCTCTCAGAAGAAACCAGGACAACAGGGCCTGTGCCTTTCACAGATATGGTAGCAATCAGTTTCCATATTTGGATTTCTCTGCCCAATGTTAAGGGAATGTTTATCTACATACATTAAGTGTGAGCTGAATCCTCTCACCGAGCAAGACATGTTTGACGTTCTTGCGTTTCCATTTTCTTTGGACTCCTCAAGCCCACAGCCATCTTTGCCATTGTTTACTTATGACCAGTGAAAAGGCCTTATTGAGGTATTATCTCTTGCCTGGTGGGAAAAAGGAAGGGAACAAAAATAAGGTAGAACCTAAAAACTGTCCTGTGTGTTCTGAAGCGGGAGCTGCAGAAGGGAAATGAAGCAGGCTAGTCAGGCGAGAATTACGGTGGGAGCGTGGAGGGACTATTCTTGTGGAAACTTGATAGCGGAAGCGTTTGGCCTCGAAGGTGCTTTTAAGGGCTCGAGAGGAGGTGCCTTTTCTGTGGGTTGATGCCGGTGTGGTTTTTAGGCGTCTTGAACATCAAGAATCAGGCTGTGAGTGGGAGTACACAAAGGAGAAAGCTAGCCCGTGCAAGAGGATGTCGAGGAGAAAACACACAAAAGTGTCTTGTGAGCCAAGAGGGCAGAGCTGTGTGGGGGCGCCGGAGGCCCAGAGGACCAGCCAGCGCGTGGCGTTTCACATCTGCGTCTCTCTGCCCTGTAACCTCCGTTCCTCCCTCGCCTTTTCTTCTTCATAAAAGTTCAAGAAGCAGCAAGAAGTAAATAGTGATTTGGAAGGAAGATGAACCTGTTGGCGATGTTTTTGGACTCTCTGGAGGGGGAGAACAAAGCAGAAATTTTGAAAATACAGTGGGTGCCAAGAAAAGCCTGAGGATGGGGGATCAGAGGGAGGATATAAGAACCTCTGTAGCAGCGAGAGAAAAAGAGGGCTCCAAGGTTTAGAAGTATTGATCGGGAGGTTGGATTTTGTAGAGAAGAGTCAAGTGATGCCAGGCCTTCCTCGAATATAGTCGAAGTTGGTGGTATTGCAAACGAGAATCAAGTGGAGAGATGGTAGGGAAAGAGTGGTGTTAGGATTTGAACATGCTAAATCGGATGTGCTGAAGGACCAAGTTCTAGCTCTGGCTCTGTCATCATTTCCTGCTAAGTCCCAGGAGTTGCTTAGACCTTCCCGGGAAGCCTTAGGATCTTGAGATTGGTTCCCAAGTAGTAGTTGGAAATGGTTTGCTCCAGGATGCCCCTCAAAAATGGGGATGGCCCCTATTTCTGAATGATGCTGTGAATAACTAGCCATGTCTAGCATTTCTGTTTTAATGTACCTTCATATTTATGGCACTGTTTAAAAAAGCTTTCTTAAAAATTTTACGTGTTGAAGGAGAGCCTTCTAAGGTCATCTGCTGTCTTGTCAAATTGTGATGAGAGAAGGGCTTGTAAATACCAGCTGCTAGGGTTGTATGGTCCTTTCCTTTGCAGTCAGCTGTCTAAAACAGCTCTCTAATCACGTTGTCCCAGAATTTGAGAACGCCGGTTAGTTCCTTGCTACCTTTTCTGGCATATGGTAAACTCCTTAGCAGGCCGGCTTGGCCCTGCCCTCCTTCTCCAAGCCTCCTCCCCATTACCTCCTCTCCACTCAGACTCCCTGAGCAATCCATTCCCCAGATGTTTCATATACCTTCACTTCCTTGCGCCTTTGCACATGGCTTTGCCTCTGTTTGGGAAGTTTCTATTAGTTCTTCAAGACGAAGATCAGACTGCATCTCTGAGGGCCATGCTGGAAATCCCCCAGCCAGGCACTTCCACTCAGAACTCTCAGGCTGCATTCTGCTCTTGCCTTTATGATAGCTGTTAATCACAGCATATCGAGAGGACTTATTTATGTGTCTGCCTTTCCCACTGCAAAGTCAGAGACTCGCTTGTTGTGCTGGGTGTCTGCTCAGCATGGAGCATCCTTCCTGGTCCTGAGTAGGCGTCCCGTTAACCATGGGGGTTGAATATCAGAGAATAAGGGCCTTACAGACTTAGTCTAACCCTCTGCTTTTACAGCATTGAAGCTCAGAGAGGGGACGTGGTTTGGCCGGGGCCACACTGCTTGAGGGTGGCTTCCAGGACCTTTGCCAGAACATGGCGCTGCCTTAGGAAAGGCCAGCGTCGGCTTCTTTCTGTTCTCTGTACCCTCTGGACAAACTTCATCCATTCCTAAGACCTCAGCTACCACTTACACCAGTGCCTCAGAGCCTTGCCTCCCACTCCAGCCACTCCTGAGCTCTAAACCAGTGTTTCCAGCTGAATCCTGGACAACTCCATCTGGATGTATCTCAGTTATTTAAA